GGCTTTGTATTCAGAATGGTCCATTGAGCCTATGAGACTAAGCATGTTCATGCCCATTCCAAAAGATGTGAGGAGGCTGGAAGTTGGAACTTGACTGTGTCTTGAAACCTTTTTTCAGAAAATGCAAGAAAGAGCAATTCTGATGAGCTAGATCTTGTGAATAAACCAGGAACTCTTCTCCAAATTTAGAACAAAGCTATAGGAATTGAGGACTATAATAGCTTAGTTGAAATGGTCCTTTGCTAACTGTAATATACGATACATACCTTGGACCCAAGAGGACTGGAGAAAAGAAAATATGAATCCCTTTCCTTTAATTTATAAAGCTGTCCAGAATTTTGGTGTCAAAAGTCCTCTCCCACACCACTTATCTGATTCAAGGTATGTCTACATATCTATAGAGATATGACAGGCTTGCTGCCCAAGTAAATACCTACAGTCCCAGGTGAGATTGTACTTTGGTCAATTAGCTATTCCAGCTGTCCATGCTACTGGGTCTAAATTGCTATTGTTTAGTGCACTAGCTCAATCAAGGCTAGCATGCATGTCTACCCAAACCTTCAGATCAAAATATAGACAAAACCTCAGACTCTGAAAACAAGAAAGATGAAGCAGCACAAGATATCACCTCTCTGAGAAATGAACTAAGGATTACTTGAACCTTTACTTCCAGATTGTTTTAGCTTTCCACTAGGCAGTTGTCAGAACTACAAAGCAGAAAAAAAGGTAATGGAGAATGAAACAGGCCAGTGAGGAATTGGGATGAATCTAGAGGGGAAGTGAGCCTTATTCCTCACTTAGAGAGTGGAGCCCTAGAAAAAAGGATCTTAAGATAGACCTCTAGTCTCAAAAGCTGAAAGCAAAAAGGCCGGCACTGGTTGGTGCCTCTATAAAATATCTACCTAATTTAGGGAGAACCAACAAGCTTACAATTTATAAGTAGAAGAGCCTGCAGAATGGGAAGTTGAGAAGAGCAAGTCTAAGGGAGACAGTCTTGGGAGAGACAGAAGCACATCCCCTGTGTGAATCTGATCCTGGTGTCTAAAAAAGGGAGTCTAATCTCCTGAAAAGGATGTAGATCCTGGTAAACTCAGAACTGCCACATTAACTTAGCCTAAGAATCTAAGGGTACGTCTACACTAGCCCCCTAGATCGATCTAGGGAGGCTAATGAGGGCGACCAAAATTGCAAATCAAGCCCGGGATTTAAATATCCCGCGCTTGATTTGCATGTTCCCGTCCGGTCGTCATTTTAGAAATTGACTAGCCCGAAGTAACTGCCCGCGTCTACACCCGGCAGTGAAATGGGATTCCAATTTAAAGCCCTAACTTGAATTAGCTGGTATTCTTCCTGCAATGAGGTTTACCAGCTAATTCGATTTAGGGGCTTTAAATCAGAATCCCGTTTCACTGCTGCGTGTAGACACAGGCAGTTACTTCGGGCTAGTCAATTTCTAAAATGGCGACTGGCCAGGAACATACAAATCAAGCGTGGGATATTTAAATCCTGGGCTTGATTTGCAATTTTGGTTGCCCTCATTAGCCCCCCTAGATCGATCTAGGGGGCTAGTGTAGATGTACCCTAAGAAAGGACCTCTTCCAGCCAGAAACCACAGCTACGTAAATCTACTGAGATGCTGAAGATGGGGCAACTAGCCATAGCTAGCTATATCAGCTGTGAAGCTATATTTCATCTGTGAAGTCAGATGAAAGCATCAGGCAATTGCTGCAAGCAGATGCTTGTGGATGTCCAAAGCTGATGCCAAAAAAAAAAAGAAGCAGTTGCTGTAGTGAGCTCTGCTGCTATCTCCCTCATATATGGGAGAAAGCAGAGCCTGTCCTTAAATGGCAGGATCTCACAGGCTAGACTAGGGAAGAGATAGAACACAGAGAGAGGTGGGAAAAGGAAATTTTCACCAGCAAAATAGAAGAGATAGACAGCTTTATGCAGTTCATCAGCAACAGGAAGACTGGGGACTGAAAGGAATCATATCAATTCTAGGAACCACTACCAGAGATATAGCTGGTAGTGGTTTTGAATTAGCAGATAGTTTGTTCTCAGTTTCCCTGAGAAAAAAAAATGTTTTTTTACTGTCTTACTGTGCAATATTTTACACGCGTATTCATCTGAAGACTGAAGTGAGTTAAAAGTAGTTTTGCTAACTACAAAATGCCTCCAAACCCTTATTGCCAATGTTTATGTTTTACAGAAAGAATTGTGGTCACTTATACTTATATTAGGTGTTGTTATAGGTAGGACAGATAATTCTGTGTGTAATTAATTACAAATAATGGAAGATGTCAGGTAATATTTAACAGTCAATAAAAAAGAAGAAATGTGATCCTTTCACTGATGACTAAATTAAATTGCAAAGTTTCATGCAATGATAATTCTATTTGCTGGGTATTTTTAATGTGTGTCACACTTTTCCTAAGACACCTTAGGAAAAGTGGAAGTCAATCTCAATGGTGAATATGAATCATTGTAAATTATATATTGAGTTATGGATGGAAGTCAATATTGAACTTGACCAGTCAAAAAATAAATGCTTGTACAGATTGAACCTCCCTGGTCTGGTATGCTCAGGACCTGCCTGGTCCCGGCTGAGGGATTTTGCTGGATAAGGGATTTTGCCGGATCAGGGGAGGTAATTTTGGACCGCTGCTACTGGTACCCCGGCTCGGCTGCTGGCCAGCTCCCTACTTCCTGCTGGCCGCTCTGCCCTGCCCACCCCACTGGTCAGCCATCACTGACCTGGCTCTGGGACCCGCAAAACTGCCACATGCACTCCCCTGGAGCTCCGGGACCTGCCAGGCAGTTATGGGCATAGCCCTGGAGCTCCAGAACATATGGGACAACTGCATACCACGGCTCCCTGCCCCACTGAGCTACCACAGCTCCCAGCTCCACTAGGCAGTCAGGTTAGCCAATGCCACTGGGCATCCCCGCTGCCACGTGCTGGGTGGCCCCGCCATCAACTCGCTGTGGGCAGCCCGCTGCCCTGCCAACTCTGCAGGGATCCTTACTGCTGGCCTTCCACCAGGACTCTCTGGTCCTGCAACATCCATCCCAGTTAAGAGAGTTTCAACCTATATAAGTAAAATTTTGCAACTTATTAAGTATGTTAAAATTGTCTGGGACTTCTGACAATTTTTTATATTCTTCACAAAACTTCAATTAAATCAGACATATTCCTAGTAACTGAAACTTTGATTAATATATCTTATGAGAGTTCAGCATTCAAACTGAAAAAATTAACCGAAGTCTCTATCCGGCAACTACTAAACAGGAAAATTTCTCACTGAAGTAAAAAAGGAGTTTGGTTTACATAAAGATTTCATAAATAAATATAGATGTGCTAAGAACGTGAAATGGTGAAGAAATATTACCCTTTTATTTAAAAATCAAACAACAAAAGGCAACAATGATGATTAAAATATTAAATTCAAGAAGAGATGAAATTTTTGCTCTTCAAATAATAAAGGTTTTTTTTCTTGTTTCAATTATTTATCTTCTGCTTTCTACCTATGACAACAACATGAAGTCGCTTAAAGGGGGGTGACTGACCACTAAATATGAGGATCCAGAAATAAAAACAGATGCAATCAGACTGTGATGGTCATGTCCCTCAGAGTCAATAGACTCTGTGAAGGTACAGAGATCTGCCTGTACATATCTTATTTCATAATCAAGGACTAAATTAATCTTGATATTTAAATATTTTAAAACAACATAATACATTGTTTCACTTAAGTATATTTTAGTAACAGTTTTAAAAAGTTTGTTTAAAATATGAAACTTAAGCTGACAGTGTCTCTTTGAAAAAGTATTTATATTACCATAAGAATGACCATACTGGGTCAGACCAAAGGCCCATCTAGGCCAATGGCAGGTGCCACATCCTGACTTACTGTATTTAGAAATGATCTGATTAATTTCTTAAATTAGTTCTTATCACTTTGACTAATAAAACTGTGTAGTTCATTGGAATCAAGGATATAGCTTTCTTTACTAAGAAAAATGCAGGCAGATTTTTAAAAGTGTGTGAACAGAAGTTTTGTTTTTATTAAAAATCATACATTTAAAAAGTGCAGCAAAAAAAATCTTAATTGTATCGTTATGTAATGATCACACACCTAAGAGTAGAATGTACTTTGTGTGATCTAATATACAGAGAAAAATTCATTGATATATGCTAATTATAGCTATTAGACATGCATGATGAATCCTTCCACAAACTATACAATGATAAATGATAAACACATTGTGAAACAAAATACTGTAAGGTTCAAAGAAACAAAACAATTTGGCATTTACAGTCTAATCGGGGTAGGTAGCAGTTTTCATAGACCTTTAATCAAATAATGCAGCAAAGAAAGAGGTTGCCAATGCACAATTGTGGATCTCACTTTTATTTTAAGATAGGACTTTTGCATTAAAATTTCAATACACCAAATGGTGCAACCTGATGCTTTATTAATATTTCTGCACATAGTCAAAAAACTGGTAAAAATTTATAACAGCAAGATAGAATCTATGTTTTGTGCTTTCACTCACTGAATATCTTACCTAGATGTTATTAATGGTAAAAATCATAATATATTTTCAGTAATCAAGACAAATGTGTTTTAAGAGAGAGATGATAGAACATTATTCTCATTCATTGTTGATGAAAAGTTACATTAGATAATGATATACCCGTATCTAGGTTTAAGAATTTACTGGTGATAGTAAAAGAAAAAAAATAATCAAGTACAAAAATAAATGACATATATATGCACAAATGGGCAATGGGAGGATTGATCATATGCTATGCTATGTACTTCTTATAGCAATTTTGTAAAACACAAGTTCTGATAATAAACAAGTGGGAATATGGGAATACAAACAAGTTATCTTCATTCTGTGATTGCACAGAAACTCTGCTATAAAACAAGAAACAACAAAACATTCCATTTTGAAAATTCTGGTTAAAATACATCAGGTAATAGACTCCTTACTTCTATTTCTGCAGACTCCATGCGATTTTCAACAATCTCAATGCACTGCCTCTTGATTGGTGGTTCTTCACTGATCACAGTTTCTTCAGCAATGTCTGTTGCTGGTACTGTTAATACTTCAATAAAACCAAATGTATATAGATAAATATAAATAGAAGGGCCAGTATTTTATATTACATAAAACTAATATGTAAAATTACTTTCAAGAATAAACTGAAAACCCATTCATTAATTTCAAAATGTTATATTAACTACATTTACTGCCTAGAAATTTGATCAGATATTATTAAACCCATTATACTCATGGATTTACAAGGCACATACTTTAAGTGACCAATCACAAAGTCAGAGAGAATCTGGGTGGCAGGGCTGGAAATAGAAACTAGATCTTCCTACTCACAATCCTGTGCTTCAGCTACAAGGCTATCTCCTTTTAAATAATTTATGAAAAGTAAAATGGCTTATGTTTTTTCTGAGGTCAATCATTTAGGCAATCTGAAAATTCTAGCAGTTCCCTAAGCCTAAGAAAATTATGGTCATATTTATAATACATCATCGTTCTGTAAATCTTTCCTAAATATACATTTGGTTGGCTATGTAACAAATATAAGTGCTCTTCCAAAGGTCTGCTCAATTAGTAACAGTATAGATTCATGATAAATGTCTGTATGATAAATGTCCTAGGGATGTAATGATGCAATTGATTAACCGATTAGCAAAATCTTATCAGTTATTACTATAGACTACAAGCATTCCTCCACCACTTGCAGTACATTTTTTAGCAGGTTGGCCAACAGCCTGGCTCAGTCCCAACTTGTGTCAGGTCCTGGACCTATCCCTGTTGTTGCTCTGCATTTAAAATGTATTGGGAGCGAGGTGGGCAGGCAGCCAGTCTGAGTTCCAGCTTGCACTGGATTTGGGAGCTTAGACCACCCCCCGGACAGGGGCTACTGCCACCCTGCACTGCTGCCTCAGTATCAGGGACAGCAGCGTGGGGCAACAGGCAGCCAGCCCACAAGGGGGAGGTGGGTTTTAAACTGGCTCCCCTCACAGACCAGCTCCTGTCTGGCACCCCGCACGTGGAGTGGCAGGGGGCTTCTCGGGAGTGGGCCGGAGCACGCTGGCTGCCAGCCCCACCTCTGCAGACTATAGAATAGTCGAGTAACTGATAAGAATTAATGAGGTGAATCAACTATTCAATCAACCAATATTCAACATCCCTAATCTGTCCACAGACTTTGGACCAAATCCTGGCCTCCAATGTATGGCATTATATAGCCAAGCTCTGAACTGGGAATCGCTAGGGGTGATATGAGGATGAGAAAACAAGAAAAGATTCATTTACATCAGGAATAACTGTTGCAAGAAATATTTACACAATACTTAGTCCATAACCATTACTGCAGTCTCAAGGCAGCATTAGCTCCCGCAATAATGCACTCTTGCTCCATTGAGTACAGTCTGTATTTATGAATCCACCAGCTATGCCACTGCTCTCCTACCAGATCACCCTTAAAATTCCAGTATATCCTGGAGTTCAGAGAAGATCCCCACAGAGCAAAGCCCCACGGTATGCAAAGGCTGCTCCTAGATACCAAATCTGCATTCAACTATTTTATCAAAGTTCCTCTGAAGAAGGCTGATTAGTGACAGTTTGTGTTACTGTTGATGTTCTATATTTTCCACTTATGAAACTGAATTTACAACGACCCTAGTTGTTTGAGATGAGTCAGAAAATCACCACCTTTCCCCTCAACACCTTCGCTCACCTACTTGTTAGGAATGTTAAATTTAGATGAATGGGCTAATCGAATAGCAGATTCAATTTGCATCAACTATTCAATTAGTTGATAAGAGTACCTCCACCTTTGAAGAGTAGCAACAGCCACAGGGCTGTTACTACATTTCAAAGGCAAAAGCACTGTGGGGAGCCTGGGGCCAGCGAGAGACTCAAGCAGTCCCCAGCTGATCCCATGTTCCCCGTGATGTTTCAAAGCGGCAGTGCTGCCTGGAGCCTGGGGTCAGTGGGGGAGTCCCCAGCTGACCCCGGGCTCCACACAGCTCTGCTGCTTTGAAACACTGCATGCAGCCTGGGACCAGCTGGGGACCTGGGCTGCACGTGTCATTTAAAAGTGGCAGACGCTCTGCTGCTTTGAAACACTGCATGCAGCCTGGGACCAGCTGGGGACCTGGGCTGCACGTGTCATTTAAAAGTGGCAGACCCCTGGACTCCATGCAGTGCTGCCGCTTTGAAATGCCACATGCAGCCCAGGCCAGCCAGGAACTCTCAAGCTGGCCCCAGGCTGCATGTGGCGTTTCAAAGCAGAAGCGCCGCACGGAGCTCAGGGTCTGGCCTTGGGCTCCACGTGGCATTGCCACTTTGAAGCACCTCCTCCTCTCCCTCCCTCCCCCCCGCTCCCACTTGCTGCTTCTTTCTTATAGAGGCAGCGGGGTGGGGAGGAGGGAGAAGTGACTAGTTGACTAGTGTGTCAACTAGTCATTCACACTCCTACTACTTACACCTTGGAAATTTTTCCTTCTCCTCCACTCTTAATTTATCTTCATACTCAAATCTCACTGGTTAAGTTAATTTCTTAAAATTTATATTTTTCCTAAAAGTCATCATTTTCATTTCATTCATTCATCTACAGGAAAATACAATTCAAATGGCACCTCACTCAATCACAGCAGATTTAGAGAAATAATTCATGGCATACAACAAATGTCAATTCTATCTGTTGTGCAAAGAAACATATCATGTAAGAAGTCACATATTTTCTTGATCTATCAAGATTTTTAAATTAAAATTATTCTTGATGTTCACATTGCACATCTTGTTTCCACTCACCTTGCTGTCCATCTGGCATGGTCACAATGATTGGTTGACCTATTCCACTGGTTGGAATTGAATGGAGGTTACCAAGCTGAATGCCATCTGTAACTATAGTAATAACTTGCTGACCTCCAGAACTGACAACTTGCTGAATTGCACCATCCACAGATTCTGCTGTCACTACTTCTTCTGTGGCCACAACTGTTGATAAAGTGTAAAGGAGGTCAAAGTATTTACAATTTAAAAACTGGGAGTCAGAAGTTAGTAACTATTAGAAGCCTTTTACATGCCACTTCAGATTCAATGCTTCTTCTACAGCTATAAATCTAATGCATTAATAACATATTCTTTATGCTTACAGGATCTAATCCAAAGTCCATTCAAGTCAATGGTAATCTTTCATAAGGACAAGAAACGTGAAGTTTCAAAAAATATAAGTACTACAGGTTGGACCTCACAGCTCTAGCGCCCCTAGGGATTTGCCAGACCAGGGAAGGTCCCTCCCCTCTTGGCCATGCTGCCACTGGGCTAGGGCTCCAACCTGCCCCTGCTGTTGCCTTAGTCCCCAGGGTGCTACCTGGCCCTGCTTCTGCCAGGGCCAGAGCACCACCGCCAGAGCTGTACAGCAGCCTGGCTCCGCAGAGCTCTGCAGCTGCCTGGCTCTGTGGCTGAGGCCAGAGCTCTGCAGCCAGGGCAGAAGGACAGAGCTGGAGCTCCGCAGCCCGGGCCAGAACTCCCTGGCTGGGGCTGGGATTGGAACTCCACAGCCAGGGATGGGGCCAGAGCTCCCTGGCTGCCACTAGGATTGGAGTTCCCTGGCTAGGGCCGGAGATCTACAGCAATGGCCAGGGAGCTCCGCTGGGGCCAGAACTCCCTGCCATGCAGCCTGTCCTCCCCCAACCCCTCAAACACACACACTGGGCCTCCTGGCTGAGTCATCGGTGCCCTTTGTGGAGCTACTGCCCCATTGCCAGACCTCCCTCTTCCTGGGCTCTGTAGTCTGCTAAAAAGTGTCATGAGATATTTAGGTCAATCTGTTTTTAAATTCACCAATTGTTTCATTATTTTTGATACCACCCACTATTAAAGTCTAGAATGTCAGAGTGCACTTTTTCTGCTGTCCTTCTGATGTTTAGGAAAGCCATGTGAGTGGGTCCAAGAGCAGCACTACTACTACTATTGGTAAAGATCCCTTGCATAGCCTGGAAAACAAAAAGAAGCCAATGAACTAAAAAAATATTAGGTCTATCTATATATTTTAGAAATGTGCATCTGTCTGTCTCTCTATGAGTTTGGTTGGTCAAGAGCTCCTCCCAAACTGTAAGAGCTAGGATCACCAAATTTGGTATGCAGCTTCCTCTTCTCCCAGCTTAAAGCAATGTCAGGGTTTCGTTATGCCAGGAAAATGGGAAGCATGGGGAATAGAACTGTTTTCCAAAACATGGAAAGGGAGGGACACTATAATCTCAGTGACGACTGGGGGCAGTGAGCCAGGGGAGAGCTATACTGTAGAGTGACCACTAGGGGCAGCATACCACCAAGAGAGCAGCCAGCTGGGGATGGGGCTTGCCATCTTGCCTGCCACACAACCAGGTAAGTGCCCTCCCCCCTTGCCTGGGAGACAGCTCCCATTGACCCCCCACACCTGAGGAAGCAGTAAGTGGTAGAAAGAAAGCTCCTGGTGGACTCCACTGTGCCCCAGGAGAGGACAAGGAGAACTAGAGAGCCCCTGGCAGCCCACCCCTGCTTGGCGAGGGGAGAGAGGAGGAGCCCCCAGTACCCCTCTCCTGTGCACCTCCCACACCCTCGGTCTTCTGCACTGAGACCCCCACATCCCCAAGGCCCTGCCCTGACTCCTGTACCCCTCACACTGCCAGCTCCCTGCCCTCAAGGACCTGGGCAATGCCAGGTAAATCTTCCAGTTCTTTATTAGTTTCAGTTATAGTAATCTCAGGGTGACTTGTAACAAAAGTTTTCAATGAAAAATCTGGATCTAGGTCCTCATGTGCTATAAATTCATGTAGCCCCAATGAAGTCAGAGGAGCTATACTATTTTACACAAGTTGAAAATATGGCCTGTGACTTTCCAGTTATGAGATCTTCTTCCTAAGCAGTAACAGGTAAAAAGATCTCTGTAGGATCTTAAACTTGTATTGTATGGCTGTTCCACTTCCACAGAAAGCCAAACAATACCTAAATAATCTTGGTAGAGTGTATTAAACAGGGCTAAGTGAACAGTATTAGATAATCTTGAAAAATAAAAGCTTCGGAGTCTAACAAAATACTTATTTTGAGGCAGAAATAAAGAAGAAGATGAACTTTTAAAAGAAATTAAATATTGTATAAAAATTTTCACAAGATAAAAGTAATAAAAACAAACTTTTGCATTTCAAATGCATGATTCCAGAATACATAAATTACAATGACCCACTCAATTTCTTCTCTGCTACATTTATGAATCAAGCAAAAAAACAGAAAAGATATTATTCAGAGCACTGGTAAACTATGTGTTATTCATCTAGGTTGTTTTTATTTGTCCTTCAAATTATAGGCCAAGTCACAAGGTCCCTTATTTTTGAAAATGTCAGGAGGAAAAACTCTATTCAAAAATAAAAACCACACTAAGGCACAAAGAGCAACATAAACACTAGGCAATCATGGACATTTTCAACCACATTAAACCTATTTTTATGTTCAACCTATGTTATGGTAAAAGCAGAAGCTTTGATTTAAGCAGTAGGCACTAGAAAGCTTTCTATCAGAGTAAAATTCAAAACTATAGCCTATGCCATCTCAGAAATGTCAGAGATCAGATAGATACAACTATGAAGCTTTCATCTTTGCAATTAATGACAGCACAATTTTAAAAGACTGTGCCATTCACATAATGATTGCAATCATTGCCTTCTGAAGACTTCTCTGTAGAAATTCATATCCTAACGAAATACTAATAAAAACACTCTTCAGGAAGTGCTTATGCAAGAAAATAAAATAGTATTAGCTATATTAAACAATAAAGATATGCAAGGAACCATAGGATGGCCCCCTAAACACCCGGGACTCTCTGTTTTGGCAACGTCCATTGTCTGGTAGGACCACAGATGTTCCCAGGCCAAAGAGCACCAGTGGCCAGGAATCGGGGCCCAACCAAGGGCCCCTGGGGCCTGTTTAATTAGTTAACCAGTTAAACTTTATGTTTAACAGTGCTGCAGACAGAGACTGTTTCAGCTGGGTTGGAGCATCCCTCATCCGCGGTGAGCCCTGCAGGGGTGAAGCAGCCACTTGCACGCTGTGAGCAGGGAGCTGCTTCATTCCCACTAGTTAAATGTAACTGACAAACCTCACCCGTAAGAATTTAGCATCCCTTCAGAGCGGGACATTCATTGTTGCTTCATTTGAATGCCCAACTTGCCCCTTCTCTTGCTCTCCATGTATGTGTGTATGATGCACCAATCATCATACTATGTTGGACACTAGCACAGTGGTTCCCAACCTATGGTCTGTGGACCACTGGTATTCTGCAGAAAGTTTAAAAGCAAGGATCAGGCCCACCATGATGGGCCCGACCCTTACTTTTCTTTTCCTTTTCTTTTTTTCCCCTCCCCCAAGGAGGGAGGGGGGAGAGGGTTATGATGTAGTTGTATAGCATGGTTACTGGAAATAATTTGTTTCAGGTTGGGGGGTTGTCTGTAAACAAGAACAGGCCTGTCCCCCAAGACTTCTGAGAGTGAGGGATCATTTTACAAGACAGGTTGTAGATTGTGGTTAATGCATTGGAGGGGTTTGAGTTGTGGACTGTAGGTAATGACAAGTGGGATTCTGTTAAGCAGCTCACCCAAAGAAATTTATAGTCAGTGGATTTCAAACAAATTATTTCTTCACAGTCAAACTATGAAACTCTTTACCAGGAGATGATGAATAGGCCCAAACTATTATAGGGTTCCACTAAGAACAAAGAAAGTTCAAGGAGGACAGGTCCATCAATGGCTATTAGCCAGAATAGGCAAGAATTGTGTCCCTAGCTTCTGTTTGCCAGAAACTGGCAACGGGAGACAAGGAATGGATTATTTGATGAATGTCCCCTCTGTTCATGTCCTGGCTGTGGCCACGATAGGAAGACAGGCTACTGGGCTAGATGGAGCATTGGTCTGACCCAGTATGTCCATTCTGATCTTATATAGAGCCCAAACGTAGCTGCGCCCTGCTGTAAGCCACTAGACCCCACTCAACTTCCAGAGCCGAAATAGAGCCCAGGACTCCTGACAGTCAGCCTCTCTCTCTCTCTCTCTCTCTCTCTGCGGTTAGTAAGAATATATATTACAATTTTAAGGCTCACCAGTATCCCTTAAGTGACTTGCCACAAGATGTCAGAATGTTAAATCAGAGCTGAGTGGATCTAATATTTATTTAAATTTTATCTCTTATCTAGGAATTAGATACTGTGCTCCTGTCAGCTGTTAATTTATCTGCCAAAAAACTAGAGTTTTCCAGTGCCTTAGTAGTCCCAGAAAGAGGAGACATTCATGTGGGGAATGGGTGATTGGAATCTGTCCTCTCCCAGCTTGCTGGTTGACTTGTACTGAGCTTGCTCAGTAACACTGTTGAAGTCGCAGTCCTTGGTCTGCCCCTTCCATGCTCACTCTTTTTCCCCCTAATCATGGCACGCAAGGTCAGCCCTCCACCCACCAAAATCCGAAATTACGCCCCTGCTAATGAGTCCAAAATACACAGCTAATCCTGCTGATCTTCAGCATTTCAGTTCTGAAGTATTTTTCAGAACATGCAACAAGCACAGATTATAGCAACTATTTTGCTGAGATCTCCTCTAGATGCATGTGTCTCCATTAAAGAGATTGCTAGGGTTGTTAGGCTACGTCTACTCTTCACGATTTCGGAATAAGCTATTCCAGAAGAAATATTCTGAAATAGCATATTTCGAAATAGCGCATCTTCACTACAGGGAAGCCTGAAAATTAGACCAAAGTAGGCTCCCCTAATGTGGACATACTACCTCAATTTAGAACCCCAGCAAGCATTGGGAAGTAATTACTTTAAATGGCCTGAAGGAGCTATTTCAAAATAGCAGCAGTGGAACGTCCACATTACTGCTATTCTGAAATAATTATTTTGGAAGAGGCTTTATTTCTCATGGAATGAGGTTTACAAACACCAAAGTAAGCCACCCGTTATTTCAAAATTATTTCAAAATAATGGGCTAGCTGTGTAGATGCTCATATAGTTATTTCAGAATTATAGACATGATTCCAAATAATGCTGCTGTGTAAATGTACCCTTAGAATGCAAGATCTCAATGCAGAAAGACAAGCTTTTTTCTTTATAAGCCTCTAATATACACCATCTAATCCACCTCAGTATCAAAGCCTGTGAAGAATTTTGTCTCCAACGTTCAACAGAGTCCAAATAAGGAGCCTGGCCTTCTGAATGCTTTATTTCTAGATATGGTTTACCACTGTATAGAAATCAAAAGTATGCCATAGCTTTTCTGATGAATAGAAAGGGTTGGGACAGAAAAATTATAGCGCCACCTCCTATTATTTTATATGATAGCTAGCGCTGCTCTTGCTTCAACTCTGTTCACCAGTTTAAAAATGTAGAAGATTACAGAGGGTATTCTGATTTAATTGAAAAAGAGTGATTGTTTAGCTCAGATCTTTTGCCTTGGTTCTTTCAAAATGTCAGATTTTCAACTTTTGTTGGCAGGGGTTTGGCTGCCTGATGGGTCCAGTAGGTGGTTCTGCTGACATCTTCATAAGGTCTAATAATCATAGTCTTTGAAGCCACTTCTGTGCCACCAGATTCATGAATGCCTAACTTTCTGCATCATAAACAGACAGAAGAGGGAATGGGGGGGAAAGGCAGCAGAGTCTTTGGATAAGACTGGGAAAAAGCATTCATAGAAACAGAGTTGGCAATTTCCTGGGAAAGTCTGTTTAGGAAAGAGAGCTGGTAAATACCATCTAAAACTTGATTTAAAGCAGGACAATGACAAAAAAAGACTGCATCAGAATCCAGCAAAGCCCTTGCTGAGATGATTTAGTTGGACTCAGTCCCACTTCAAGCAAGGGGTTGGACTAAATAACTTTGTGAGGTCTCTTCCAGCCTTAATATTCTATTATACTAAGTTCTGTAAGCACAGAATGAATTTTTTCAAACTTTAATCACTTCCATTCAAAACTGAGAAATAGGCTCATTCTACTCACTATATCAAAGTTGATCTACTACTACAGAATGCTGCACAGCCAAATGAACCTGGACTAGTAGTCCACAAATCTGCATGCTTCTGATCACTTAATTCTTCAAGCCTATAAACCTGCAATACTGTCATTGTCATATAACGAAATGTTTTCAACTTTTATTGCCATTTATACTGAAAACTGAAATACGAGTCAGCACATGCATAACTTACTTGAGAAAGTACCAAACCAAAACGCATTCCAATGTTCAATATTATATTACAGCCACTGCAATTTTACTTTTAATACAGATAACATTTGAAAATATAACAAAGTAAGTATAATATGGTGTATACTAACAAAACAGTTTTAAAAATAGAAAATGCCTTAAACTGGGACTGATGTTTTTTTTACCAGGTAAAACACATTTTTAGCACTCTGGAAAAAATTACCTCTGCTAAGTATCAGGCCATCCCCAAGCTTTGTTAAGAATTCCCCAAAGAACGGAGCAGCTTGCTACACCCATATTTTAATTTTTTTAAAAGGGAATAAAAATGTAAGCTGTTGGGTATTCAAAGTAATTGGGGCAAATGGCACTTTACACCATCTTGGCAGTCAACTGATTCTCTTTCCTCCTTGCACAGCCTCATTTT